GGACTGTGATTTAAGGATGTAAAACCATGTACTAACGTAACGTGAGACGAAACAATAAAACGTGAATCATCTCTGCTTGCAACTGATCACGATGTTAATTTTCATTAGGAACAGATGATAGATCGATTTTCCTGCCAAAGTTAAGGTCTGGAAGTGGTCCTGCAGCTCTTGTCCGTAGAATGATACGAAGTTACCCGCCATTCACGAAGAATATCTGTCCGTGTGCAAAACCTCACAAAGTGTTCCATTTTTAGGAATCTGTAGAAAGACACCGAAAATGGTCAATAAGAGTTGGTTCGTTTGCAGTGACCCCTGGTAAGGCCTATACGAGGATAAACTAAACTTAAGGTACGGAGTACGAAGCGACATGGGGCCAGAGGTTGTGATTAATAAGTCGGTTAATTAATGCGCTTTAAATAAAAGAGAAACAAAGTAGAGCTATGGATGGTTACAAGGCCGCTTAAATGTTCGAGCTTTTAACACTTTCCAATTTTCCGTGGTCCTCTTGGAAAGAGCAAGTCTCAGAAGTCTTTTTGCGGAAATTCATTTCTAAATTCGAAAATTCCTTTATGGGATGACAAGTAATATCCGATTTATTATATGCATATTACATATGTAGTTTCAGATTTTGCTCGATTCGTCTTGAGGGAAACGCATAACATGAAACATGGCTTCATATTCTCTCACCGAAGACGAATCGAGTATGATCCGCAACGTTGGAGAAAATATTTATGATAAATTTGATGTTCATTGTCATCCCGTAAAGGATTTTTCTAATGTTTGTGATTGCACAATTTGTGGAACAACGCCTCGCGCATTGTGACAGATTTGTGGGGTGGCCGACGCCATCGTCATACGGTTCGCTCGAAGTTTAGATGACCAGACGATGACGCCATCTCTGTCCAGCTAGAAACTTTTAACTTTGCACCTTTAGTGACTTTTTGCATTTGGCAGCAACTGACTTTGTTATCCAGGACACTTTTTCTACCGTCTGCCAAGTTCAGCTTGCACGCGGCTACCGCCGGTGCACTCTTTGGTCTCTCGTCTCACCTCATCTCGTGGTCACTTTGTTTCTGTTGCATTTTCGACTTTGATTTTGTTCTACTCAGGGAGTCTCGTCTCCTATCACTCAACTGGGACTGGAATTCGATGCAGCCACGAGCCATACTCAACGGACTGTTAAAACAGTGCCTGAGAAGCAAGGAGTCGAATGGCGGTACGGAACGAGGTGAAATCGATGGCAAGCCGGAGATTCGGCGGTTCGGCAGCTCGCACCATCGTCCGTGTCCGTGTCGGCGGTGCTTTTCGACTCCGTGTGACGGTCGTAAAACTGTCACAAGTGCGTTACGTTCGACGCTACGTGAGGCTGTCCGACGGTTCACCACAGCAGTTTACTCTGATCGTTTCAATTTCTCACGAACTGCTGCCTTCGACTGTCGTCTCTTCGTCTACTGGTCGCTTCCTTCCGGTCTTTGCGGTCCCACCATCATGATTGACGCCTTAAACAATAATGCACAGGTGTCCTCGATATCGTGACCCAAATTCATGAGTTGCATGCCGATCAACGCCGCTCAACCTCAGGTACTGCTACTTTTCCCCTCAAAATGCTGTAACATCGAGGGCTGTCATCTCAGATTTCGAGTGCTAACTACTTAATGCTGAGTTCCGCGCCAGACGTCCCGTCCCCTACGGGTATGAAGGATGTTAGTCATTCCAGTCCGTGACCTTCTTCAAGTTGTTGTCCATCTATGCGGACATATTTCCCTGAGGAAGAAATGAGCCGTAGGCATTTTCTCTGAACGTGGCGTGGTAGCACAGCTCAGATTGTGTATATTGAGTACCATTGAGCCTGAGAATCAAAAGATGCCTGTCGGTAAGATGTGGAAAAGCCGAACACACTCGGTACGACGGAAGAGAAAACAAGCTCTTGCAGGCTGTAGACATCGCCTTCCGGGACTTTTCATATCTTAGGTATATCGGTCTGTATTTAGGGCATACCTCAGATCATTGTTTTGAGCGAAACACTGAACGGCCCAGTATAAGAATGTTACGTAAAACCGTCGATCTGTCGATTCAGTGGTCTTTAGCCCAAGGTAAAGTTTGATATTAAAATACTTCGATTAAATTTTTGCCTACATTTCGGCCGCATAAACCTCCTTCGTAAATACAAAATATGCAAAAGTAGGATCTTATAATAGGTTATAATATTATGTTTTATGAGTATATAAAGTATATCGTAGCATTGTATATTTAGTGTTCCCCAGTATTTTTAGTTTGTATAGGGGCATTAACATAATTTCGAGACCTAGCGGACAAAATGACGCGAGCTGTATTTG